TGCTTGTTCTTGTTATTATTATTGTATTGTCACAGGGGATTTTCACTCTCGAATTGGCCTTTTCAGCCACGCTAGACGCTGTTCCAAGTCCTCGATACAGAGCACGTTACCATAGTCTCTCAAGACTGAAGGATGCCTAAGAGAGATTATTATTATTGGACAAAATAAGGTGACACAAACAGTGGTTGTAACAAAAACAAACAAAAAGACCCCCTATGATACTCTATAGAGACACACAGTGTTTCCTGGTTAGGAACGTGCCTATTAACTTTTTTTAAAAAAATTATATTGGTAACTTCTGAATGAAGGTCTATATTATTACTCTTACATTGTGGTGTGGATGGCTGAAAATTAATGATAAGGGTTTACCCTCCCCTTTAACTTGATACCACATTTGAGTTGTAATTTTCTGGAGGGTACTTTAATATGCAATTTTGCAGCAGCTCCACAATGCAATGAATTTGCATGGAAAGAAAACATAAATGAAGTTTAATTTAAGGGTGAAGCATGAGGAAAATGCTTATTTGACAGAATCCTACCAATGTTTGCTCAGAATTCCATCACACTGGTATCAATGGAACCTGCTTTCAGTGAGAGTCAGTGAGTTTACATGAAAATACAATCCGGCACAAGTGTTAGTGAATTAAGACTTCCTTCTAAAGAAGCATAGAGGATCAGAGTGTGTCTATGAATACAATGGCAAGTTTAATCCTCCAAATAGTATTGCATGGGTGGGTGGAATGTTACTAGAAAGTCATTATGTGTTTCCAGAACAGGTTTTTAATGCACAAATCACCTTGCGTTGTTCACCTAATTTTATCAATGATCCAGATATTGGTGTTTTGTAACTCGTCCATGTTTTCCCACACTTCTGACAACAGAAAAATCTATTTGGGAGGAGAAAGCATGATAACTGCACAATGCCTTTTGATTGGCAGCACTAGGAGTCCTCTGTCTGGAACCTGCCTGCATGTTTTCTGGGTCACTTGTGGAGATACAGTAAAAGAATTTCCATCTCATGCAAGCAAAGGCTTCCCATTAGCTCAGTTAAGTCGCCTCAGCTGGCCAAGCCCTGGAGGTTGCCCACCCTCAACAACAACAATACTACCTCATGGCTGACTGCATTTAGAAGCTGGCCAGCTTTTCCAGGGCAAGCGGCCTTCCTGGAGCAGGAGCAGCTGCTGCTTTTTGTTCCACTCACAGCAGGCAAGAGGTAGTGTCACATCATTGCTGCCTTGTCTCTCCAGCTACCACTGTTGCTGCTGTATCAACTCCACCTTCTATCCCTTGGCAATGAGCCTCACCAACAGAACATGAGTATTGCTGCACGTGATGCAGGTTTGGCAATGCCCATGCAATACAAGGTAGTGGAGTTTCACTCTCTTCCATGTGGCAGAGGAGCTTGTGCTGACCCTGATCTTAGGCAAGATTCTAAGTTATATCACATCTCTGACACTTGAGAAGGGGAGAAATGTCTAGTCAGTCATCTGAGGGCATTGTGACACCAAGCACAAAGCATTTTCAGCACATTTGCCATCATGATCTCCCTGCAGGATTTATTATTTCACTTTTTTTCATAATAATCATGGAGTCACTCCATCAGGCAATTCACTTTAAAGTTACCATTGACACACACACACACAAAGCCTGGACTTTATGTAGCTTTTATCCTGAAGCTTTCACCTGGAAACATCACATATGAGCAGGCACTCCAAAGCTGTCCTCAGTTAAGGGAGTTGAGCTATTGCTCACAAAAAACCATACATTATGGTTTGGATGAAGATGCCCAGTGTGATGTACTGTAGTGGACAGAATGATGGACTAGGACACAGAAGACCTAAGTTCAAATCCATGCTCGGTGATTGAAACTTACTGTGGGGTGCACTGGTAAATTGCTCCTTAAATGTCTCACCTTGAATGCCCTATTGGGATCAGTATAAGTTGTAACTGCCTTGACAGCACGTAACACAGAATGAGGATGAACTGTCTGAACCTACCAACAGCCACATAAAGCATCTGCCACGCCACCAGTGGAACAGAATCACAGCTGGACTCTGGCCTTCTAGATGTTTGGAAGTTCACCTGTTAGTAGCCCTCACTGTTAGCTATGCTGGCTAGGTCTGATGGAAATTAAGATCTAACGACATCTGGGCAGCCATCATTGCCCACCCCTGTGCTAAATACATGCCATGTCATGGGACATTAGAATTCCAGTGCATATCTGTAGAATGGTTTTGAGCACTGGAATTGTCCCTGTCACATAAAGAAATTAAAGAGGGGCCTCACATCAGAATGGGTTATGTTTCTGAGAACCTACATTTGATGCAAGTTGGTGAGGCAAAAACAAACCAAAACAAACCTTTTGTTCCAACTCTAGCCCAACTACTTGTCTTGGGCACAGATAATGGTGGGAACATTCCTAATTTGCTACTGTTTGCAACAGAGTGTTCAACAGCTTCCTGTTTGTCTCCAGAATGAGGGATTCTGGAAGTTTCCTCCAAGCACAAAAAGAATAAAGGGGTGCTTTTTCACTCTTGATTGCTTTTCAGAGAGAAAAGCTGTGGCCCCAAAAGCCTAACTCTTTGACTTCCCATAAAAGATCACAAAAAAATAAAGGAAGAGGGTCCACGAGTGGAGTCCCCTCTCAAACTAGTCGGGAGGTGACCTCAACTCAAGGGATGGTCAAGAGAGTAACCACAAGTCCTCTTTCAGAGGACAGTCCTCCCTTTGAATGGCTGCCAAAGGACATGCCTTCTGTCCAGCCCAAATCTGATTTGAAAACCAAAGAACCAAAGTTGCAACCAAGAAAGCAGGCAAAGAGCCACAGAGGTCACCCAATCCCAATCTTCCTACTCAAGTCAATCTGTTTAAATTATAAAAGTTATTAACTTGCACCTGTATATATAAATTAACATATGAAAAACAGTGTTTTGTCTTCCTTTTGGTCTTTATTCTGATAACAATATGTCACTTGCCATGCTAAGGATCAAGGTTCTCAAGTTTTACCAATAAAGAAGATGGATAAGTTCAGCATTAAGACTCAGCAACAACTACTGTATTTGCCGGCGTACAAGATGACTTTTTGGCCCTGAAAAACATGCCTCCAAGTGGGGGGGTCATCTTGTACGCCGGGTGCATGTCCAGCAAACCCTCCCTCTCTCCCAGCGAAGTAACTTACCTGGTAGTAAAACCGAGTAGAGCTCCGCTCCTAGCCTGGGAACAGCCTGACTCTAGCGCCGAACAGCTGACTTTCGGGAACAGCAGAGAGGAGGCAGCCATTTTGAGATGCGACCGCATGGCTGCTGCCTCTCAAAATGGCTGCCGCCTCTCCAAAATGGCTGCTGCCTCTCTGCTGCTTCCCGACAATTTGCTGTTCGGCGCTGATGCTGTCCTTTTTCCAGGAAACCCTCGCTCTCTCCCAGCAAAAGGAACCAGAAGCACGCATGCGGAAGAGGGGGTAGTCTTATACAGCAAGTATATAACAAACTCTACATTTTGAGTGGAAATGTTGGGGGATCGTCTTATACGCCCAGTCGCCTTATACACCGGCAAATACGGTAACTGCACCATCTTGCTTTCTGTCCCTTGCTATGTGGAAAGAAATAATGAACTTGAGGATGAGAATGCCCATGACTTGAATAAGTGTTCGCTGCTTCTAACATTCTACCATGTTAATGAGCTGGGAATTTTCAGTAAAACTGGGTTGTTGTTTTTTAATGTAACTTTTTGGACATTGGAGGTTCACATGAAATCTAGGAGTGAACTCTTGTGCCTTTAATAACTGTGTAGAGGAAGGAAATTTCAGGAGGGGCACCTTGTTCTGCAAGTCGTACCTGCTCACCTATTAGAAGAACAGAAGACATCTGTATTGAATATCTGTGATTCCCCACTATCATTACCTTAAAACACTCCCGGGGCCTTGCTGTCATGACAGTTTTAATCAACAAAAGTGATATTTATTTTCAGTCATTTCATTAAGGAACAACAACTTTTCAATTTCAGCATTTTAATAGCATGTTTTTATTTTCCTCCTTCATTTTACCTATTTCTCTCTCTTTTTTAGTTGTGGTACATACTTCAGTTTTATAGATCCACAGTTAAAACATATTTTTAAAAACTTTAAACTGTGAAAGCTGATGTTTTCTTAACTCATTCACCAACTTAATGGGCAAAATCTTACTGTATATCTTTGTCCTGGCATAAACCAGGCTGAGGCATCAGAAGTAGTTAATTTAAATTAATTTGAAACTTCTTACCCACCCATGCCCAAGTTTCAACTTCAGAGGTTCCTTAAGACTCCCTTTTGTTTTGAAGAAGTCTTTGGAAGTGTTAGAACTGGGGGGCAAGGGAGCTTCTAATAACCCAAAATTGCTGCTGGTGGTCTCAATTTTAGCAGTGGTAATCTGGCATTAAAAACTCCCCATTCACCATTCTGAAATTCCCAATGGCAAAAGGTACCCTTATGGAGCCTTGGAAGTCAAAACAGGATAGAAGCAGAGGTAGGAAGTTTTAAACTAATTTTAATTAATTATTTGTAGTGCCTCAGTTTGGTTTACACCAACAGAACAGTGCTAACAGAATTTCCCCCAAAAAGAGGACAAAAATATGTTAGGATCTCCACTTTAAAATAAAGTTGCATTTTCCGATGCATTAAACATTCTGTAACTGGAAAAGGTTAGATGACCTCTAATACTGGCATTTTAACAGCGACTCACAAAAAATATAGCTCTGCAAAATAACAAAATACAAATACGTAAAATACGTCTCAGTTCTCCATATTAGGACAATACGGTATGGATCAATTCCTAGAAAAATAATGCTATGTAAAGAGGGAACAATAAACAACTTGGTTTTGAAATATGGGGTCAGTATCCAACCAGGAGTGTTGCATGCTTAAACCCATTTGCTCTAAGGGGCTTAAGAATGTCTTCTGTGTTGGATTATGTCCCTCTTTTCCTGGAACTGAGGCTCAAAAAAGCAAGACTCATTAGCACGGGTTGTTCAGTTCCCTTAATGCATCTTCTTAATGTTCCCTTTTGTTAAGAGAGGTTCTCAAAGTCTATGTAGTGAAGGGTTCAGATGGAAGACTCCAGCCCTGGTTTCCCTGCAGGCAAGGCTGGGGTGTCCGTCTGGTGTGCCGCATCCCATTCTTTCTGCCGTCGCTTGCACTCTCGCCACACCGTGAAAGGGTTGACTAAAGCCAGCAGCATTAAGACTATGAGGCCAATATTCACCTGAAAGAAGAGATATGGAAACGATAAAAGATGGCAGTGCCTAACAACCTTTACTTGTAAGAAGGCACTTGCTGTTGTTCTCAGAAGCTTCAGAACCCAAATTGGGAGTACAAGTCTCAGTTTGGTACCTAGTCTTGGTGCTACCTAGGATTCTCTATGCTCAGGCTTCAGAGCCTTCTCCAGGCGCTCTAGGGAAGTGGCACGTAAAACATCACACCCTACTGTTGGCAGGCAGCATAAAGCCTCTGGAATGTCTAGACCTGGCATAAACAGCAACTTGGAGCACAGAGGCTCAGTTTTGACTGGCCACCTACTAGCTTGTGTTACTTCAGCCTACCTGTACCTCATGTCTTTGATCCAGAAACTCTCCAGTCAAGTTCTAGGTTCAAGGCAGACCACTCACCATCCAAATGTGGCTCTATGAATTGCTCATACACAGTTTCTGTTAAGTCCCCTTATACAGGACACTATATTCATATTTCATCACTGTCCTCTTCCTCTCACTAAGATGTTACAGCTTATCATTCATAACCATACAGTTTGTAAAATACAGTGGTGCCTCGACTTATGAACTTAATCCATTCCAGAATGATGGTCGTTAACTTGAAATGCTCGTAAGTCGAAGAACCATTTCCCATAGGAATGCACTGAAACTCCATTAATCCATTCTGACCGGGGGGAAAAAAACACAAAAAACAACCAACCAACCAACCAACCAACCAAAAGCACTGCAAGCCCCATCGGAAGGCGTTGGGGCAGGGGAAAAATTCCCCCCCAAACAACCAGAGCAGGTCCCATTGGTACATGCTGGGGCCAGGGAAAAAATTGCCAAACCACCTCCCCTCCCAAAACAAACAAACAAACAAACAAACAAACAAACAAACAAACAAACAAACAAACAAACAAACAAACAGAGCAAGTCCCATCAGAACGCACTGGGGCTGGGGAAAAATAGTCAAAACAAAACAAAACAAAAAACCAAACAGAGCAAGCCTGGGGCTGAAATACACACAGAGAACCTGCTGCGGCTGGAACACACACACACACACACACACACACACACGCACGCACACACACACAGGGGCCAAAAAATTAATCCCCCCCCAAAAAAACATAGCAATCCCCATAGAAATGTGCCAGGGACAGAAAAAAAATCACTCCCCCCTCCAAAAAACAAGCCCCATCGGAAGCAGCACTAGGCAGTCCGAAGCCTCCCCCCACACTCTCTAACCATTGGGCTGAAAGAGCTACAAAGAAGCAGCCTCTTCACTGACCATCCGAATTCCCCACCTTTTTCTCAGTCGTAACTCGAAGCTCCGGTCACAAGTCAAAGCAAAATTTTGCGACCGGAGCTGATCGTAAGCCGGGATGTTTGTAAGTCAGGGCACCACTGTCCTTTCTGGTTGTTAGTGTAGCCATACGGATGTGATGCAGACCAGTGTTAATAGTACCCATTTACAGATGTGACATTGAAGCCTTAAAGATTTTTAAGCTACCAATGAATGTCTGTGAATGGGATCCCTCCCCTTTTACCCCAAAACCTAAAAAGGTTTGTAATGGAGAATCTTCCACCACCATTAAACCACAAGACATTAGGAAATCTTAGAGCATGCCAAACTCTTTTGCCTAAGGTTAAGTCTACTCACAGTCATCCCTCTGAAGCTACTCATCCCTAGACAATATGATTCTTTCAAACATTATTTCAAACATAACAGGTCTCTATTTGTGGTACTGAAAATTGCACAGTAAAATAAATTCACTGGGATAGAGAACACTCACATAAAAGGGGTCCCCCTCAAGTGGGCCCTTGACGAGTGAGAAGCAAGGATACTGGAGGAGTGACACCACAGCTGAGAGCCCCATGACCAGACCATACAGCTTCCCGAAGTGTTCCAGGGGGAAGCTGCCGAGACACAAAAAGATAAAACCTTGGAGATACAATGGCAATGGCTTTTCTAAGTGCCCTCCCTCCCCCAGCTTTTGCTTCTTCTATTCTCCCACATTGATCTTTTGTCTGACTTTTCTTCCTTTTCACCCAAGAGAGTGCTGCATCCCTGGTACGTTCAGGGAACGAGGCAGAACATTTTTTACAGCTTCTGCATCAATATTTCATGGCCTCCACCCACTATAAGATATTTCATTCAGGATTTATATAAGGAGAGGTTTGTGCTGAAAATATAATCTACCCCCGAAATCAGTGTTCTCATCTATTTGGTCATCAGTGTAAAAGGAAGACCACTAGTACACCTGAACTCGTATCCTCCCATCTGCTTTCTACAGTATGCCAGGCTGACTGCAGCAATGACTTCTGCAAAGTGGGGCTCCTGTAGCTTAAGTGCAAAGCTGAAGCATTAAGAAGTTCAATCAATGGGTCGTGTAACCCAACCTCTTGTTTCTGGCAGATGCCAGCCCAAGAAGTATCTCTTAGACGGGTTATACAAAACCACAGAACTGCAACTGTGCTAGGAAGTTGTTTCTGAAGCAGAATTCTGCAGGCAGTAATGTCTAAAATGTTGTTGTTGTTTCATCATTGTGTCCAACTCTTCGTGACCCCACAAACCAGAGCACGCCAGGCCCTCCTGTCTTCCACTGCCTCCCGGAGTTTGGATAAATTCATGTTGGTCGCTTCGGGGACACTGTCCAACCATCTCGTCCTCTGACGTCCCCTTCTCCTCTTGCCTTCACACTTTCCCAACATCAGGGTCATTTTCAGGCAGTCTTCTCTTCTCACCCTTTTCGGTTTCCACCCATCCCATTTTCTCACTTATTTCTAACACTCATTCCCCACCCCACCCCTTTCCCTGTTCTCAGAAAGATGAGATACTTACGCAATAGCCAAGAAGGCAGCATTGCCTCCGTAGAGGAAGGAGCGGCTCAGAACCTGCAGGATGAAGGTGGCGTACTGCACAGGCAAGACTGGAATGGAGGCACAAATTGAGAATGCTATGCACTGCAGCACCGTGATGGTCAGTGAGAGAATGCAGGAACGCAGGTCGGCAAGCGAATCTGGAAGAAAGAGAACGAAGTCAGAGAGAATGCAGAAGAGGACCAAGGAATTTTTTCAGTACCAACGTCCTTGCCGGTCTGTATTATGCAAGAAGCAAATGCAACAAAATTCATAAAAGACATACCTTGAGAATTGCTTCCCTTTTTCCCTTTGCGCTTGTGGCGGTCAAGAATAAGCCCATTCCAGGGGGCACACAGGACTCCACATAACTGGGTAAAGGCAAAGGCGTTGGTGTAACTGCTCACTATTAATGGAAAATATTGAAGACAATAAGCAAAGCAAAGCAAAGTGTGGTGCTTATATACCACCCCATAGCACCTCGCACACTCTCTGGGTGGTTATTATGCAGGCTACACATTGCCCCCCCAGCGAGCTGGGTACTCATTTTACTGACCTCGGAAGGATAGAAGGCTGAGTCAACCTTGAGCCGGCTACCTAGGACTGAATCCCGGGTCGTGAGCACAGTTTTGGCTGCACTGCAGCAGTTTAACCACTGCACCATGAGGCTCCATAAGATGACAATGTCCTTTGAAAGAGGCTTTCTCTGCTTCATACTTATAACCCACACCAAATGTTAATGTGAAGCTATGCTTTGTAACATCCCAGCCCCAGAAGCCTGAAGAAAAAAATTTATTTGGAGTAGAGCTTTCCTGAGAAAAGGCAGCCTTTGTCTCCTAATGAAAGGAGAGAGAGAAAAGTCAGGGCAACACAAAACTCGAAGAGTGCAAAATCAGAGGCAAGTCCTAAAATGGCGCTGAAAAACATAATTGGAGCTAAATGGTGGAACATCTTCCTCAGGGGCACAAGAATGTTTCTAGTAAGGTAACATCTCTAATCATCCATTGTTTTATCTTTGTACTCTTCTGGTTCACCACCCCAGTAAATTAATTTTACTGACTCTTACCCTTCCCTGCATGCATCTTTTTCTTTTGTTCCCCATATGCCCTAAACCCCTTTTATCCGCCACATCTACCTTTGATGATGAACCCATTATTATGCCCCCAAGAAGACAACCAGTCAGTGGTCAGTCCCTGAGGATTCCTCCTCATTACCCAGGATGGCATCTCCATGAGCCAAGTGTATCAGCATGGGGTTGAGGGTGCCGATGAAGAGGTAGTGGCGCAGCTGCATTACCGACAGCCATATCAGGTGCCAGAAAAACAACTGGGAGAAGACACAGCTTCTGAAGGAAATCACAGCTGGCTCCTTCAAGCTTGGCACCACTGTGGTTTCATCTAAAAAATAGGGAGGGAAGAAGAAATAGTGTGGAGTGGTGTCTGAATTTATCTTTAGATCACCAAGACCAAGACATGTCCACAATAATACTTTTCTACTGTTTTACTGTTGGTCTTACCTGTGTGAGAGAGCCTTTCGGGAATAGGTCATATGCTCATGGACTGAATTAGCTTTGGAAATGCTTTAAACAAAGGTTGGTTCTATTTAGAAAGACCCAGAGAACAGTTTGTGCTAATTTCGACTATGGATGAGAGGTGGTGATTGTTATCTGAAGCAGGTAATAATATATGATTTATACTTTGACAGTAGCTATAAGACTCTAAATGCTACCAAATTAGCTCTGGAATGTAAGCAACAGATCACATGTCAAGGGGGAACCATGAAGGATAAAAAAATTATGCCACCAAGTCAACTCTTCCTGTTTGCCCACCCAAGGAAAGAAAACAGTTGACTGTAATAGTCTAGAATTGCATGGGGTCATATTTTCAAATTTAATGTGCGCTGTGCTAGTTACAGTCTTGCATGGTTCCCTGTGTGGCCCTCAAAGCTGATGGGATCCTATTCACTTTTCCTCACAGGCTGGCAGTCCACTTATGTGGTTTTACCCTTAATACATACTCGTGATAAGAAAATAAAGTACCAATAGCAATTTGTACGGATTTGTCGAGGCCATGTTTGTCTGTTGGGTCGAAAACAAGGAATACCTCAGTATGCCAACAATTCTTTCCTGGCACAAGCCTTTGTGGGCTCTTCTCGTCACATGCCAGCTTTGGACTTAGGATGAACCTTTAAGTGAGTGACATTTGCAGAGGGAGGGGGTCACAGATGAGCTGGAAAGCTTTAGGGTAAGCCAGCCCACGACTGATGGTTTCCTTCTATTCCCCTTTCATCATATATTGGGATATATTTTCTTTCTTTACTCCATTAAACATGCCTTTAATGCAGATGTGGTGGGTGGGCACAGGTTACTTGGCTTTTATAAAAGGGGACCATGACTGTGCTAGAGCAAAGGATAATGCCTTGCAAGTCCTAATGCATGGTTCACCCTGGAAACGCTGCCCCCCAATAAAGTGGTGCCTCGACTTACGAACATCCCGACATACGACCATTTCGAGTTGCGACCAGCTCCAGCCGCAAAATTTTGCTTCAACTTGTGGCTGGAGCTCTGAGTTGCAAACAAAAGAGTCAGGGAAAAAAGGCGGGGAATTCAAATTACAGGACTAACCGTTGGTTGGAGAAGAGCTTCTTTGTAGCTCTTTCGCCCCAACAGTTAGTGTGAGTGCATTTGCAGAGAGGTTTCAGACTGCCTGGTGCTGCTTTCTGCTTTTGGGTGAGTACATTTATAGGATTTGGGGGGATTGGGTTTGGGGGGGTATGTTTCTGTGCTGGTTTGGGGGGATTGGGTTTGGGGGGGAGTTATGTTTCTGTGCTGTGGTTTTTATTTATTTTGGTTTTTGGTGTTTTTTTTCCCCAGCCCCATCGTGTTCCAATTTTTTCCCAGCCCCATCGCGTTCCGATGGGTCTGTCTCTGCGTGTCGGGTATTTTTTTTCCCCAGTCCCATCGCGTTTCATTGCTGTGTGGGTGTGTGGTCTTCTTTTAAATTATTTTTCAGCCCTATCACATTACAATGGGGATTGGAGTGCTGGTCTCTGCGTGTGGGGTAATTTTTTAATTTTTTCCCCCAGCCCCCTCGCGTTCCATTGCTGTGGGGTGTGTGGTCTTCTTTTAAATTAGTTTTCAGCCCCATCACATTACAATGGGGATTGGAGTGCTGGGTGTTGGTGTGGTTTTTTGGTGATTTTTTTGGGTGTGTGTGTGTGTGGAACGCATTAATCATGTTCCAATGCATTCCTATGGGAAATTGTGCTTCAACTTACAACCATTTAGAGTTACGCCCATTTTCTGGAACAGATTATGGTAGTAAGTCGAGGCACCACTGTATAAAGTGAGGCATCAACCTCAGCAAAGCTCCCTCAGATACTGTACAACAGATTGCAAGCTGTTCTGCTGGAAGAACTAGGTATGTATTCCTAACGTAACACTCATGCCTCGTTAGAATGTCTAACTATGAATGTTGCAAAGCATTTCCGGACAGTACCTTTAGCTGCATCCATTTTGGTGGCTGCATTTACTTCATTAAGTGCTGAGTCAGGATGCAATATATCCGAGTCTGAGGCTTGATCATCATTAGGGTTCTTAGGGGAATGCTGCTCTTCGTAAGTACGATATGACTGGGACCTCCTCTGACAGCTAAGTCTGCAGACACAGAGAACAGAACTGACTGCTGCCACTCCTCCAGCTCCAGCTGTACTACCATGGAAATCTCTTTCTCCAGATTTCCCATGTAAAGAGCTAAAACAAAAGCTTTATGCATGAGATAGGGACAAACGGGTACAAACATTTTATCAGTTCTTCCAGACAATGCACTATGGCAGGAAAACACAGCATCCCAACAACAATGATGGCAAAGACATTAATAGAAATGTCAATAAAACAGCCTAAATTATAAATGGGCCATGATACAGACAAAACAAAACAAAACTGGTTTCTTCAGCAAGATGTGTCTGTGAGGGATTCTATCATTTTTTTCAGGCCACTTCTCCCACTATGCTTTGTAAGGATCCCTGGCAACCATATTTTACACAAGAAGCCAGGTGGCGCCATCGGAGGCAAATGGAATGCCATGGAATGGGAAAGTAAAGCCGGCTCTCTGGATTACCATCACCAGTTCTGATCTGATGGGGCAGAGGAGACAGTCTGGGCCTTGTGTAATGCCTGTGTCTGTCTGTTTTTGTGTCTGTATTTAATTTCCTGCCTTGGGTGCCAGACCATGTCCTGCCCCTGTTCTAAGGATGCCACAAAATAACAACTGAACCCTCCAAACGACATTTTTCAAAGTGTTTTCTGATGCTGCTGCTGCTGAAAGAAAACCAAACATAACAACTGGCCAGCTTTCTGCCTTTAAAGGCAGCTGGAAGTGCAAAAATCAGAAATTGTCACTTTTCACAGGGTGTGACATAAGTTTGCACACCATGATACTGGGTAGCTGAAGACCTGGCGGCCCCATAAAAAATCCAGATATTTGCATGTGCATCACCTGTGTGAAAAAGCACTTAGGAAACAGGATTATCTTTTAAAAAAAGAAATGTATTTATAGACTTATAAAACATTTCATGGATATCTTTTTTTCTTAACAAGTTTAATACTGTTTCAATGTAGTGCTAGATTAGCTTGAAAAGGGAAGGAACACAAGACAGACGGATTTTAGACAAGACACAGAAGGGAGGCAGCCAAGTCCTGAACAAGGATATAGACAAGAGCTCCTTACCCATATGTATATCCAGGGGGCAACGGGTAAGGAACATGGCTGCGGGGCATCAGGAAGAAAGTACGAACCAAGTGCCAGGCACTGCAGGCAGACATGAAGAGGAACATGCTTCTCAGCGAGAGGCCTTGCTCGTACAGCAGCTGTGGACAAACAGCACAAACCTGAGAGATCCAGGCTAGACTTTTACTCTCTTACTACTGTTCTATGATAACAGTTTTCTCAGGACTGCGGCCAGTGGGGAAAAGGATTATTTGTCCCTCTTCCTCAGCTGCTGTGATCCTGTGATCAATTCCCTCCAGCAGCTACCTTTAGATAGATAGATAGATAGATAGATAGATAGATAGATAGATAGATAGATAGATAGATAGATAGATAGATAGATAGATAGATAGATAGATAGGTGTATATATATTAAATTTATATAAAGGTGTATATATATTTAATATATATATTAAATTCAAAGATCTCTTTCACACTATGTCTAGTTTGGCTTCAAGAGAATGAGTGGTGCTAGTTGCCATTTCTTTGCTATCTGCCAGGACTGTGAAAATATCAGGTGAACTTCCCTCCATGCTGCCTTTTGCTGCTCTTCACTTCCTGAGAAAACATAGAGAGTAAATTTCCTGTATATTTTACCTAATAATCTTTTAACAGAGATGCTTCTGGAGTCAGTTATTTACACTGCCAAGGAGAAACCATAAAAACAGCATTGACAAATCACTTCTCACCTCCTTAACTATGACTCTAGTTTTGCCACAAGATAACTTGAGGAAACGGAGTCATGAATTAGGAAGCAATGTGATGATCACACCAATATGAAAGGGCCGAGTCGAAGCTGGCAGAGAACCCATGTCAGCTGAAGTCAAGACTTCCACATTAACCACAACTTCTCCTACTGAAATCATGCTGCCAGACTACAATCATCCCCCACTTTCAGTGCTCCCACATCTTCAGTGTCACATGGCTGGACTTTGACATTTGTCATCATTACCTGCTTCTTAGATTTCTCCTGGCCTCCTTCACCAAATCATAGTAATCTCATAGCTCAATGCACAACTGGACAGCATTAATAAATCTACACCTAAAACTCGTGGACACAACTATAATGGCAAAATTACAGAGAGTCGAGCTAGATGTTAAAGGGAATACACATTTCCTCCAATTAACCTGTTTCCCCTCCCAAAATAGGATTTCCCCAGAGATGCATGCCTCAGCAATCAGACTTGTAATTTAAGCTAGTATATACCTTCCAGTGCTCAGTCACAAAACATATTGGCTGAAATCCTCTTGCTTAGCATAGCAAACCACCATAGAGTAGGTCAACTGAATCAACTAAACTTATGGAGGAACTGACTCACCAAAAGCCCTGTTGATTCAATGGGCCTGCTTCAGTGTGAAGCAGCCCCATTCCACTTGCAAGAGGACTGCAGCTGTGAAATGCAAGATCATGACAAACAGATGTCATTTCACCATAAGAGTAGGTATCTCTTCTAAAAACATGCTAAGCACTATTGTCTAGGGTGACTCACTGTTTCCCATTTATGCATGTGGTTCCTGCAGTGCATGACATTGCCTGTACTTCCGATAATCTTGTGAGGGAATTTCTATGAGATTCATTAGGAAGGCTCAGTGAGAAACGCAAATCCAACCAGTAAATTCTAGAAATAGAATCACTGGTGAACTCCTGAGCACAAAACAGAATCCCAGTGTGGCTTGTTAGGAACACAAAATGGAAGCTGGCAATTAAAGACTTAGGGCACCGATGACCTGTGTTCGGAGCAGTGTTGGGAGGACGGGAGGTGCAATCCCCGAGTGCAGGATAAGATGCGCCCTGAACTTGTACCATGAGCTGCTGGCAATTCAAAGCCAAACAAGATGTGACATGCAGCTGCCTCTCTTCTGCATCCCATGTCCTTTGTTCAAGTGTGTGTGTGTGGGGGGGATAGGGTTTAAGTCTTATGGTGGAGAAATGTTGGGGGTGCTTAAATCCTTCCCTCATTGTTGTTTACTTACTCAAAATTACACAGACAGAGAAAGAATGACTTTCTCACTTAAGGTTTCTCTACAGTGAGACATTTTCAGCAGAGAAATGGCAGGACATTTTAAACCATGGTTTCCTTTTTCCTACAAAGAACAATTCCAAAAGGAGGGCTCGTAACATTGTGAGTCAAAAGACCTTCTGCAGCTATTCCATCATTACTTCAAGACAGGGTAGTGGTGATAGGAAAAACAGGGAAGTTATAAATGGAATATGATGTCATTCATCTGGAGCCTGCTAAAGTTCCTTCAATGAGGAAGGCAGATTGCACATAAAATAACAGCAATGTTTTCTCATTCTCGGGCAGTTCATTGGGGAATAAAAAAAACCCAGACTAGTGGCAGAATGAATCAGGTAAAAGTGTGTCATGTCTTGCTTTGCCCTCCATTTTCATCAAACTGGGAAAAAGCTAAGAATACATCTGAGAGCAAAGGGACAACACCTAATAGATAACTTAGCCACAAATAGGATTAATGGTCTAAAAATGTCAGGGGTTCACAGCAAACTACAGACAGTGTTAGTTCTTCAGTATCCAACAGTGAAGTGGCTGGCAGTTCGCTCAATGAATGATCCTGGAAGGAGGTGGGCTACTCCTTGTGCAAGCAGAAGAGGACAAGGTTTGCTTCTGTGCTTTAACTGGGAAATGAATCTATTGAGATGGTAAGCATACTATCTATGTTCTTAGTCTGAAGTGTGGAGAGCTAATCCAGATTCTTCAAGACCACATCTGAATATCAAGCTGCCTTTGCTCCTCAATCCCTTTGCCTGATCAGGGCCAAGAACAGAGAAGGGGAATTGAATGAATCATGACCTCAGGATCACAGCGTCCTTACTGTATTCTGCTGCTCCCGTTCACTTATGAAGGGACAGGGTTCCAACCCAGAGTCCCACTGAACAAATAAGGCAAACTGCAAGGTTAGAATTGGCCCGAGGTCAAGAGGTCCTCCAGATCTGATCCACACCCACCCCTTTTTCTTATGCCTCCCCCTTAAGAATACGACCTGTCTTTTTTTTCTGACCAGGTTCTCCTTTTCTCAATACCAGTTCAAGCCATTAAAATGGCAGTTACAAGTAAATAAGAAAAGTGCAATTTGATCAGGCCAAAGTCTTTTCTACTACAGCACCCTCTTACCACAGTGGCCAACAGGTTGCCAAATGGAAAGCCTGCCAACAGGACATAATTACAATTCTGCATTCTGACTCATGCTTCCTAAGGGAACCGATGCATAAAGGGGAGTACACATTTCATCCAGTACAGAGGTCCCCAACCTTTTGGGGCCATGGACTGGATGGGGGGAGTGAGCTCCACGTGCGGGGGCTGGGGGCATGTCACAACACACCCACTGCGTGGGCATGCAGGGGGCTTAGATCTGTATCTGCGGCCCAGTTTTGGCAAACCCATGGACTGTCACAGGGCCCCAGACCGGGGGTTGACGACCCCTGCTCCAGTATAACTTCCTTCTCCTCTCACAAGGGATTTCCTCAGAAATACATGGGCCAGTAATCAGACTTGTAAATTAAATTTGTGTTTACATCTTCCAACCACCCATTATGAAACAAAGCACATTAAATGCAAAATAAATTATTGAGAAAAACCAAATGATGTATGTTAAGTAGGACAAGAAAGGAGGTGATGCTTTAACTATCTTAGTCCGCACTCTCTTCCCCTGCTGCAGATGGATGTTTTGATGGTCCCATGTCTGATCTGACTACTCACTCTGCTAGCACTCATCATTTCACAGGCAAAAACTGCACAAAAAGAGAAGTGGTAGAGGAGTGTGTGTGTGTGTTTTTGTTTTACTTGTTTGTAAAAAAAAAAAAAGGAAACAGATCTCCTTTCTTTAGAAGACAGCACCAACCTTGATGACAAGAAATATAGCAGAGGATGAGTCAAAGGCTCCATTATAGAGGGTAATGACAGTTGAACGATGCTTTCCAAACAAGTTCCCAACCTGAAAAGAAACATAAAATTACAAACAAACACATTGACCAGTTTCTTGGAGTGACTGCTCCAGAAAGAGTGTAATTTTCAGCAACTGTGAATGTATACAGTGGTGCCTCGCTTAGCGACATTAATCCGTTCCAGGAAAAACGTTGCTAAGTGATTTCATCGCTAAACGGAATTAAAAAGCCCATAGAAACGCATTAAAACGTGTTTAATGCGTTCCTATGGGCTTCGAAACTGACCTTATGTGAAGATCCTCCATAGGGGCAGCCATTTTTGGTGCCTCTAAAGTGAGGCAAAACAGCGGGCGGCCATTTTGTTTTTCTGGCGGCCATTTTGGAACTGCCGATCAGCTGGCCGAAAATGGGGGCTTTGCAATGATCGCTTCCCCGCGATCATCGCAAAGCGATTTTTCCCCATAGGGGCCATCGCTAAGCAATCACTCTGGCGATGGCCAAAACCCCATCGCTAAGCGATTTCATCGCTCAACGGAGCGATCGCTAAGCGAGGCACCACTGTAATAAGATACAATTTCTGAGGAAAATGAGCTTTTAACAGGTCAAAAGATCTATTCTTCCAACATCAGATGGATTTCTTCCAGTCCTGTAACCACTGGAGAATCCTACTGGGGTTCATGTTAGCTTTGTGCAACTTGAACAGCAACAAATCAAAAGATGCTGGGACACATCTCAGTTGTGTGCCTGTTTATATGCCCAGCTGTGCAACTGAGATGCACCCCAGCACTTTTTTCAATTAGCTGCAACAAGTTACACAAATCTTACCTGCATACTGATAGGGTTTTGGCCACAGTCAGGTGTTTTTCAGCACCAGCAGAGCCTTAAATGTTTCTTCACTTGACAAAAGAAGTCAAGGTAATATCCCTTTTTCAATTCATCTGTAGTATCTCTCACAGAGTGATACAACTGAAGCATGATGGTGCCTGATGAAAAATCTGTTGCCACTCCAAAAACAGACAAACAAACAAAGGAAAAATGTGTAACTATCAGTGACAGACCTTAGATATTGTTTGTTTGTTTGTTTGAGAACAGCTCCTAGAATCATTGAGTCAGCAGGGTCTCTAGCCCAAACTGGCTGGGGGTATTCTGGGATAAATCATCCAAAACAATGCCTTTTCCATGTTCTGCTTAGACCAGTCCCAGGAGCGCCCACTGCCCCACACAAGGTTTCTTCTGCCAATGATCTTCTTTCCCAGTTCTCTCTACCTGCCGGTAGGATGAACTAGAGATCAGCATCTAACCTGCATGTTGGTGAGGATAAGGAGGATGCCACCGATCGACAGAAATGATAGTGCTGGGAACAACATCACTGCAGTGGCTGCGAGGGAAGGAAAAATAAGGGGAAGTCAATAAAAGACGCCAGTTTATTACACCTGCAACACAGACACAGCTGCACATTGTATTCATATAATGCCTACACACAAAAAAGACCATAGTGCTGAAATGTTACTTATGTCAGTGAAAGAAAAGGTGCTGAGATACTACATAAAGAAGACATGGAGGCCTATTGTGACTACAATGTGAAGACACACCATGCCAGTGGAAATGGTTATGCCAACTCAATGAACTAAGAAGTCAATAATGGGAAGGGGAGGCCCTTCTTTTCCAACCACCTTTGTCTTTATGTAAAGACCAACACAGAATGCCAGCCAGGCAGGGGCTCTTGACTCTCCCCCCCCCCAATTGTTCCAAACCAACTAAATGTTTTGGACTACATGCTCCCAGGTAACTTCTTTCCACTCTTACAACCACAGCATTGGCTGTGATGGCTGTGGTTGAGAGAAGCTGAAAGTTCAAAACATCTCAAGGCTAAAGACTGGGCTGCTAAGGCGTGTGCCACCCTGCAGGGAGCAATTAAAACTTTGTCACTGGGGAGAGGGAGAGGAGCATGGGAGGGGGAGTAATGCTGTTTCTCATGCCCCTCCCCATTCCTGTGGGTATAGACACAGATTTGAACACCAGACTATACTTACTATACACACTCTTTCGTCTTTCAAACCTATAGATGCTCCTTTGTTATCACAGAATTTGCTAATTTGCACTTAAAGTATAAAGCTTCTTATGCTCATACAGAATATATTTATGTAGGCCCAAATCCTATTGCATGATGTAAGCAAATTCGTAGATTTTGCTCTGTTCCTCACCAATAAATAAATGGGCCCTACCACAATCCTCATGGGCATATGTACACATTGGGTTGCTGTGCAGGTGTGCCCCACAGAATTGCAGGGATTCTTTATTTACTAGTGAGGAATGGATTGAAACTTATGAAATTTCTTACATTACACAACAGGATTTTAGTAACAGTTTCCCAGCGAAAATATCTGCCTTGACACGTTATGCTGTAACATATGCAAAGGTATATACATTTTATTAACTTCACATGAATATCGTTTAAACTCCACCAGAAACATCAAGCAGTGTCTTCACACATGAAAATATAATGAAAACCACTGGACTTTCCTTCACTGTTATCAGGCTGTCATAGTAAAAAAACCAAAATTGACAGATGCTGTCATCAGCCCCTGAGATGCAAATCACTCACAACATTTTCCAACCCAAAGCTCCAAGAATTCTGCTCACGAATCAGAGCAGTGGTTCCCAATCTTGGGTCCCCAGGACTAAAACTCCCAGAAGCCTTCACCACTAACTGTGCTGGCCACGTTTTCTGGGAGTTGTAGTCCAAGAATATCTGGAGACCGAAGGTTGGGAACCACTGCCATAGAGGGTGAGCTAGATGAGGTTGGTTGATCACCCCAGACCACTTACCTGCTGTGGAAAATGCAATTAGGAGAGTACCAGAAGTGTAGGAAGATCTGGAAAACAAAGAGATGGCCCTGAACTACAAAATGGGCACTGGGCTATGGACATCTGAATAGGTGGTGAACTAATTTCCCCCCATCATCCCCCAACAGATACAGTGAACATTCATCAGCTTCCCATTCTTTAGACAGGCAGGCAGGCAGGCAACAGTGAAAACCCAGGCTGTCAGAGGAAGAGAGAGAGGACATTTGGAATGCAGGAATCAAATGGGGGAAAAATGAGAGAGAGAGAGACAGAAAGACTGGAAGGATGGGGGGGGGGACCACACCAAGGAAGAGTTGAAAAGATGAAATCAAAGGGCTAGGAGGAAAAAATATTCAGACAGAATAACATCGTTCATTGAGTCTTTAATCTTTATAATTTCATCACTGGCAGCATAAAAGTTATATAATTCTTCCGTATCCATTTTTATCTTCTCAATATTCCACTGTAACCTTGCTTTTGCATTTTCTTCATTAACCTTCACAACTGCAACATAACTCCTTTAATATGAATACAAGACTAGTTATCTGAGAACATTTATATTGTGGAATGTAGTGTTTGCCAACATTATCTACAGAATTTCTTACATCATGCTCTGCCACTGAAGAGGGCCAAAATGAATTCCGAGCCCCAGACATTTTTTTTCTACCCTGACTAGCTGAGAAGGAAGAAAAATAACGATTTGAGAGGTTATTTTTTTAGCTTGTTTTAGCAATTTGTTTCCCTTGCCAATGAAAAAGGGTTACTATTAATATGATTAGAAAAACCTGCAGAGCTGCCACATTCCGCATCCTATCTGTACAGTTTTAGTTCACTCAGCAAACTTTGGATCAGAGCTTAGAAAAGTTACTTTTTTGAACTTTATATTTCAGATCCCTCAGTAAGCAGGGCCAGTGGTGCCATCTTAGTTAGGGTATTTGGGGAGGAGCAGTCCTCAAATAAAAATTTTCCAAACTCTGTTCTCCTGTGAACAGAAGAGGGTGCTCTAAATCAGTGGTTCTTAACGTGGGCGATAATTCCTCCCAGGGGGCGATTTCATTTTTCAGGGGGGCGGTAGAACGAAAAGGGGCGGCGTGGGGGCGCTGGAGCAGAAGGGGGCGGTAGGGAGCGCTGGAGCAAGCCAAACCTATGAAGATGGCTGCACCCTTTTTACAATGTGTGGGGGGCATTTCATTTTCTTGGAATTGAATTTTGTTTCCAGGGGTCATTGGATTTAAGTGTCTTCAATCAATCAATCAATCAATCAATCAATCAATCAATCAATCAATCAATCATTCAATCAATCAATCAATCAATCAATCAATCAATAAGATATCATCACTGCGGGGAGGGGGGGCGATGATAACTTCCTCAATGGCTCAAGGGGGCGTTTCTTTCAAAAACATTAAGAACCACTGCTCTAAATTCTTCTGTATGTGTGTCAACAAAACAATTTACTGCTTTTTGCACAATTCATTGTGCCCCTGCTATGAACTCCCATCCCTACCTCCACATAACTGAAATCCTGCAGATACTCACTCACATCGTATCAGCCAAAACAAAAAGAAAGAAAATAAACAGATGAGAATCTTGTGGCACCTTAAAGACAACTGTTGCATTTTAATGTAAGCTTTTGTGGACCTTCACCCACTTCTTCAGATATATGAGGTGGGAATCATAGATCACACAGTAAAACATTCACTCATATCAGCAACACTGCTTTCAGCAACCATTGCCACCCATTTGGAGCAATCTTGATAGTATTTTATCTTACAGAGCCTGAAAGCAGCCTACTTCTTCCATGAACTCCAAACTCCCTCCCTGTCCCTTTTTTCATCTCTCTTCTGCAGTAAACATCTCCCGGCAGGCGCATATTGTCTTGCATTTTGTAAAGGGCACTAAAGTGGCTGAAAAGAAAAATATATCAGTAGCATCTCATCATCAATTTATGGCATTCAGCAGCAGACACAGGAGTGGCTTTTGGTTCAAATTGGGTCCAAAAGGAGCTTAAGACAAATTCATGAAGGATAAAATCTACTACTCACAGACAGTTCATAGTCATGGTAGCCCAATGGCCCTTTCATTTGTCAATATGCTTTCAAATAGCATGTTGTTGGGAGAGGGAACTGGTAAGGAAGGGCCATTTGTCTTGCATCCTGCTTATAATGGAGATATCTGACTGATCATAGTAGCTAATGAAATGTTGGACTACATGTCCCTCATCAATGAAAACAGCAGAGATGTCTCTCCCATCATAACCTCAGGATGTGACAACTGGCACTGATTTCTGCTGTAGTGCAGATCACAGTCAGTTCTAAGCGTGCTGGAAGGGTACAATAGGCCAGAGGTCCACATAGCAACATGATGCTTTTGTTACAATAGGAAACGTATCATTAAAACCCTGTATCTCTCGGTCAGAGAGCAAAAAAAATGCCTTCTTGTTCAGAGTAAAATGGAGAGATGCTGAGAGCTGTTCCTGCCTGTGGCCCTTGGTCTCTGCAACTGAAGTTGAGCTCGGAGGCTTTGGTTTTTTTAAATTACAGTTCCCAGAATTCCTCATCCAACAAACTTTCCAGTTTCCAACACGGCCTCATAATTCAGGGACACCCCCCCCTAAACACACAAAGACACTTTTGTCATCTAATCAAGGGTTGGGGAGAAGAAACCATGGGAAGGGGAGATTTATCACAACCTCTCCTTACAGCTGAGTTCCACAGAAAATGGGTCTGAGGATTTCTCCACACTTCTCAGCTACACAGGGGGAGCGGAAGTATGTGATACAATGATAAGCTACTTGAAGAATGACAACCGAGCAACACTGTGGAAGGGTGAGATGGTTGGGAGAGGCAGGAGGTTGGCTAGCCCGTCTGCAGAACCTTTTGCTGCACCTGGCTTATGGGTTGGAAGTTCCTTGCCCTTCCTATAAAGCAGTGGTTCTTAACCTTTGTTACTCGGGTGTTTTTGAACTGCAACTCCCAGAAACCCCAGTCAGCACAGTTGGTGGTGAAGGCTTCTGGGAGTTGCAGTCCAAAACTCCTGAGTAACCCAAGGTTAAGAACCAGTGCTATAAAGCAGTGTTTCCCACCCATGGGTCTCCAGATGTTCTTGGACTACAACTCCCAGAAATCCTGGCCAGCACAGCTAGTAGTGAAGGCTTTTAGTCCCAAGAACAAATAGAGACCTAAGATTTGGAACCACTGCTATCAAGGAATCCCAGGTACCAAACCTTAAAGCCCCATTCCCCTGCTGCCCCCAACCTGACTCCTTACAGAGTTCTAGCAACACCTCCGGTTCCCCCTTGAATCATTGCATGCTTGGATTCAAGACTCTCACTTCAGACTAATGAGATAAGGAACTGAGCAGCTTTTAGTTCACTCTCCACATTGTTGCTATCTGAAGCAGACAAGTTATTGCAAAACGAAATTTCTGCTTACAACAGCCTTTAGTCTTGGCCCATGACGAATAGAGCTGCTTGACATCACTGTTCTAGTGAGTTGACTTGATTTTCCAGTTTGCTCCCTGGCCTTCACATTCAGGAAACGAAGCAGAGACTGGCTTGGCACACACATTCCTGTCCCCCTGGATAATGCTCGTCGGCTACAAAAGGGATGGAGAGGGCGAGCCGCCAGGCCAGCACCCACCTCCTTCATTATCACACTGAGCTCACTGGCTTCTCTGCCCTTCTGCCCTCCTCTTGTGTGTTGTGTTGGCCAAGGAGAATTGTATGCCTGCATTTTTAAAGGTGGTGCCTTTCCTGCCAGCCTTTATCTTTCGAAATGGTTCTTCATTTTATACGGTTGTCTACATGACAAAACTCTTGCTCTAAAAGGAGTATCAACATGTGCTTTCAATATGTGTTAGCCAGTGTAAGTCTGGGAACCCATGGACACGCTTTTCCTTGAAAATGTGCCTTCTTACCTTGGGAGGCTTTTTTGGGTGTGTGGTTCTTCTGCAGCTTAAATCTATGGATGGACTTTTCTGGGGGACACATTCTTCCCACTGCTAGAATATTGAGCCAAGAAGGTTTCTGCAGAGGGAATGTGGGGATGCAAGAGCAACCTGGTATCTGCATTTGGAGATGGGGTGGGGGACCTTGCCCAACCCCATCGTTTGCCACATACCCTGATGAAAAGGAAGGAAAGTAAGAACTCAAAATAACCACTTCAGCATTATTCTCCCATGCCCAGCTTATCAGTCTACTCATGTGAGTTGTCTGACTTTGCCCACTGCATTAACACACTCAGCCAATTAAGGAACTTAAAACTGCAGCCACAGCACATATGAACGTCCCGTGCTGTGATGACAGAAACCCTTGGATCTATGGTCCTGTTGGCTGGGAGGAACATTTCATCGGTTGTAAGCCTTGCTCACAGAACCAGACTAGGCTCCTCCATGCTGGTACCAGTCACAGCATGACTCTATCAAAGACGTCCAATCACCAAATAATGTAAATGCCACCCATTTAGTTGATCATAAATAAACCCTGTAACAGACAACAGGGCTAGATTCCCGGCTACTGAAAGCTGGTGTCACCTGCCTGCCGCAGACTGAGTGACCTCCTTTCCCACTGGGCCTGCAATCATTGCATTGCACTCGATTAAAACTTATTCAGGTCAGCCAGGCTCACAGCTAGGATGCTTTTAGACAGAGGCTCTCTCTGTGTAATCATGTTTTGCGGCAGCAAATTCTAAACTTAATTACTGTATCTGGCATGTTTCTTTCGTCTTTCCTGGGTTGCCTGCCAGTAATTTTCACTGGTGACCCCTCTCCCCATTCCAGAATCACTGGGGGCAGGGCTCTTGCTCTCTCTTTTATATGCATCATGCATTCTTTCACACATATCTACCATTGTCCAGGGCCCCACACTGGGAGCGAAATGTAAACTTCCCCATCTCTGGAAACAAGCATGGTTTTCAAGCCTTGAAGAGCAGCTGACCCTGGGGCACATTTATAATCCAAATGGAGTTCAGTACAAATTCCAAGTGTAGCCAGGACAAAATTTCTGAAGTGGTGAGTTTTTTCTCTCTCTCTGCCTCCCTGCCCTCATTTTAATTCAATTTCCATGAAGACTTTTGAGTTGCTCCTAAAAATCTGCATGTGCTATGTTTTGCATATACCATCATCAGTCACAGAAAGAGCACTGTCCAAAGCCCAGCTGGAAGTCAGATCTTTCAAATGAAGGGCTGCAGCATTTACAGGGTCAAACTTTCCATTGCTGCTGAACATGGATCGTGCAAATTCCAAAGGCTCCCTGCTCTGCCTCCTCTCTCTATTCCCCTACTCTTCCGCTGCCACATTTCCTTTGGCTACCCCAGCCCCTTGGGAAACAGTTTCAGATTGCTGAAGGTATTGATCAAAGGAATCCTATAAAAGTACAAACATTCCATTCAACCACCCCAAAAAGGGAGCACATGCTTTATACACAACAGTGAGCGAAGGCCTCATGCAAAACTAATAGCCATTTTTTGTTCCAACACAGCTCCTGCTTGGCAGAGCAGCATGTTGTGTATTAGATTATGTAAAGATTAGTATTAAGTCAAGAGAAGCTTCCCAGAGCGCTGGGGCATATGAGCAAAGTCTCTGTTGTGGGAGATAACAGACATTTATTTTATCCCAGCTTTTTCGCAACCCTGATAGAAAGGAGAGCAGAAAGGGAGAGGGACTCAAGGAGAGAAAAGGAACAGCCATGAGGGAGAATGCAGAAAAGAAGTTCTTATCATCACAGTTCCCTTGTGCTCATTGCACGCCAGTTAGATGGGAATTCGGGCTCCCCCTTCCAAAAGTATAACTGAGGCATGATTTGCATGTGCAGCACAATGGGGTAGACTATTTCAGGCTGCAGGCTTGATTGTGTCCCTGTGTTATGAATACCTTGGAAACAGAAAACTAGCACTGTAAGGCAAAGGTTGCAATTGTCTTTGTCTCTGATGTGCTCCTTTTCTACTTGCAGTCTGATTTTACATGGTATGTCGAACTTGCAACCCGAAGTGCTGTAGTCTATTCACCCACCTTATTTTGATGGGTGTGGAAAGCCAGCACAGGCGTTCTCATAGAAGAGGGGCAATTTTACAGGAAAGTTCCCAGGAGTTCTCCCCCCCCCTCCAGCTCCCTTCAGCTGTTGCAAGTGGCCTCCCTCTGGCCAAGGGCAAAGGAGGGAAACTGGTGGCGTTCCAGGTACTGCTGGATGGAAACCCTCATCAGTCCTGGACAGCACAGCCCAACTGCAAGGACTTGTGGGAACTGAGGTCTAACAGCAGGCCACAATATGTCCACCCATGGTTTAGGGTCACCCCTCCCTCTCAACTGAGAGCTCTCTAAGAGATGAAAAGCAGCAGGGCAGGATGGATCTCTGCAGGTTCAATTTTGTCCCTCCATCCCTCCCTCAGCTGTGTGGTGATGGAAGAGCTTTCTGCCACCACATTTCTTCCAAAGAGTCAATGTTTAAAGACAAAAGCACAGCTGTTGTCAATCTTCTTTAGCTTCCACAGGGGCACAGAAGCCCCAAGAGGTGAGGTGAGGTTGCAGAAAATAGGTTGCATCTCCAGCACTTACATGGCAAGCAGGCGGGCTGCTGTGGTGCCAAAGCGATCAAAGATGTAGCCTGTGGGGAAGGTCATGAAATTGTTCATGAAGGAGCCAATGGTGAAGATGAGAGATAATTGCTCATCCTGGGCACTGCAGTCTGCAAAGAGAGAAAGGCTTTAGACATCGTCCCTTAATGCCGCAAAGCTCTTGGGCATAGATCACTAAGAACACACTTCCAGTATGTACTCCTGGACCTCCATGTGTTTGGTCGTTCCTTCTTCAATGGAAGGTTTGGAATGTTACTTTTTTACAAAACAATTCATTATGTAACTCATTGCAACCCCTCCGACAAGTTGTTGTTACAGTTAAGGAAGACATCATACTTTCATTTAATATTTTGCCACATTACTTGCTGTGTTACTCAATAATGTTTTCAGTTCCTGTTATGGAAGGGAGGCATGTCAGGCTCAGTAAGAGATTGGTATAAAACTTCAAGATCGGTCTAAAATCATCTTTTAAAGGTAACTTTAAATACAAACAGAACACTCCAATTTTTTACATTGAAGAATTTAACAGCATTCCGGCTTGTTATGCTATCATTAAAATATAATTTTGGGTGTGACCACACTGGGAAATAGATCACAACTTGGAACCACCAGTGATCACATGACATATGAGAAAATGCACTTCAGCCCAACCCGATTCATGTTCAAGCTTTTTTGTTCCAGCTTTAGAGCTTCCACTTTTCAGGGCTGGGCTGGAGCGATTCCTTGGCTTTAAAGGAGATGGCTTCCATTCAAGCAAACTTTTCTGGTGTGATCAGGCTAGTGCCTTTCCAGACATCTGATTGCACCATTTGTTACATCCTGGTACCAAACAAACAACATACGTAACTCATTACTTGTAAACTGTGACTCCCCCTGTTCCCTAACCCTAACTCACTCCTCTAGGCCCCAACATGGACCCTGTTGTTAAGAGCCAGGACTTGCTTTCTCAAATGACGACAAGGGGTCCCACAGCCTCCACCTTTCATTCCAGCAGTGCTGAAAATGGTTGCTGGAACTGAATGGTGACGAAAGTATATTCTGCACAGGCTCAGCCAAACTCACTCCTCAGATGTTCTAAGACTGAGCCCTGGCATTCAACGGCTAGTATGTCTAGGGAGATAAGGAGTCGGCACTGCTAAAGTTTATCAGAATGGGGCACCATTCCAGACTTTCCCGAGAGATAAAGAAGGGTCAACTTCCTCTCCAGGTCCAAACACATTCTTGCCGTCTTCTCTGAACTTCTATGGCTCAGCACGAAAAAGAAAAAGGAAAAAAAAGAAAAAAGCTCAAGAATGATCCACAGTCAAGCAGCTCTGTCTGTCATGTGAAAAGGCATGCTGGAGAACTCCTTATAGAGAGTGTGTCTGCTGGAGGCAAGAGTCCCCAGCCTATTACCCAACATCTGAGCCTGGGTGTCTTTCTTCAAGCACATCTGCTGACAGGAAAATCCATCCGGCCATTTCAAGCCATATGCCTGGCTTGTAAGAGAGGAACAGCCCAGGGAAGTGAGCACTTCTCTAAAGAAATGCCCACACTGGAGTGACAGAAGCCAGGAGCAGAGTCCTGATCCTGGGTGTCACCCAAGATAAAGTCCAGTGTGTGCATCAGCTGTTCATAGAAAGTATCTTGTGGCCAACAGCTGTCCAAAACCTGCTTTGATAACACGATGTGGCAGACAGCTCTTCACATCCAGTGGTCCATACACATTCTCAAGCTTGCCCACCTGCCTCCCCTGGTCTCTTCTCTGTCTAGCCTCAACAACCCCCCTTTCCCAGCCCTGCACAGCTTGTGACCCACCTGCCTTAACTTAGTCCACCAGCTGCACATAGTGACCCACGAAGAACTTCATAAATTTGTTCAAGTTTGTTGCCTGCCTAACTAGAAATGCAAGCAACAGCATTTGGGAGGACGTAAAACAGGACTGTATTGACTTAGTCAAGTTATAAGTTGTACATCCTAATATATGGTCGTTTATGACTCACAATTAGTCCAATGTGCACATATACATACTATGGTGTAGCAGTAAATTTGCAAGTGTGCATGCTTGTAATGTATGTGTGTTATCTGCTATCAAGTTAGACTGACAAGCTAATAGGCTTTTAAGATAAGTGAGGTATTTTTAAGGAGTGGTTTCACCACTACCCTTGCTAGTTTCTATGGCCAAGTAGGGATTGAAATCCAGGTGTCTTCAGTCCTACTTCACCACTCTATCCGCTACACCACACCAGGTCTCTCCATGGTGCACCCCAAAGATAGTCCCCAAATGCAAAATGCTGGGTCAGCCCACATCAGCAAATGAGGAGCAAGACTTTTGTAAAGTCAATGCTTCTTAATTCAAGGCCAAACTACCCTCAAACATTTTGCACTACAAAAGAGATAGCTTACAACAATATACAGTTCCTCAGAAAATCCATTTCTCTCCCAACTACCTTGAAGATTACAGCTAACCCCAGAAGAAATAAATAACCAGGGTCTGGAGAAAAGAATGGACTATGTCACATGAAGATATGCAGAAATATGTTTTGATGAAGGGATTAGTAAGTAAAATATATAATTTAATTTTGTAACAAGAGGAAAAAGAGATTGGAACAGAAGGTTTGAATTTAATTTGGGAAAATGATTTAAAGACAGAAATTAAAACAGAGGATTGGATAAAAATTTGGAGGATGAGAGTGTTAAGATTAATGTCGGTAAGAATAAAGGAAATTTTTTAAAAAAATTTGTTTAAGGTGGTGGTTTAAGGTGGTGAAGTTGAATATAATAAATTCAGATTCCTCTAAAGCTTGTTGTGATGAAGAAATTGGTAGGTATTATCATATGTGGTGGGACTGTAAATTGATTCAGAAATTTTGGAAACTGATTTTTAAGGAAATTTGTATATATTTGGAGAAGATACTGAATTTAACTCTAACATTGCTTTGTTATCAATTTTTGAGAAGACAGATTTTGATTATTGTTTGAAAGAATTGATTTCCAATTTTATGACAAGCACTAGAATATTAATAGCTAGGTTTTGAAAAGATAAAATGATATTAAATTAGGAGATTGGTATGGTGAAGTATGGGACATTGCATTAAATGATAAATTGACTACTGAACTCAAGATGAAAGGAGGGGAAATAAGTTCAAACACTTTTTATGCTATTTGGGATAGATTTGTTGAACTTGTACTAGTGAAAGGGGAAAGCCTCTAAACAACAATCTATACAATATTGGAAAGGAAGCTTGTAATAAAAGTATTGTTCTAAGGCAGGGGTCCCCAACCCCAGTCTGCAGCCCAGTGCTGGTCCATGGGCTTCCCAGGACTGGGCTGCGGAGACGGATCTCTGCCCCCACGCACGCATGGTGGGCATGTTGTGCTCACCAGGGGGCATATCGCGCTCATGGGGGGCATGTTGTGACACCCATCTGCGAGCGCAACATGCCCATCTGCGAGCGCATCATGCCCATCCACAAGTATGGGGGTGCCCCCACCCCACCAACCACTTCGCTGTTCAAAAAAGGTTAGGGACTGCTGTTGCAAGGGATCCCGTGGGTATGGGGTGCACGGTAGAATTTAGTGTATAGTAAGCACTATTATTTGTATTTTTGTATTTGTTTTTGTTCTTATTTATTTATTTATTTATTTGTTTGTTTGTTTGTTTGTTTGTTTGTTTGATTTATACCCCACCTATCTGGGTGACTCGTCCACTCCAGGTGGCTAGAAAATAATAAGAAAAATAATAAGAAGACTAAGAATAAGAATGGATGATGTTGTAGCTCCTTTTCATCAGAAAGTCATGGGGCTTTGATCCTGTGAGCTTTGGTCTCACTACACAGCTATATACACCACATAAACCCAGAGCTATTAAAACTCATTTTAGACATAAACCCTTCATTCTCTGTCCTTTCTCTGGATCATACCTGTCTGGTTTGTCTGATTGGCAATGGGCACACACAGATCTTCAAAGTACTTCAAATCCTTGAGGACAAAGACCAAGGATGCCCATCCAAAGATGACACCTGCAAAACACATGCATTCCACCAGTCCCGAGATCAGTGTGGCCAGACGTTTGGCTCTCCCTGAGCTCCAGTGCCCCATGGCTTCTGAACAGCTTTCCTGATGATCCTGAAGCAACTCCTTTTCTGATCCTGCAATCAAGAGGAAAATGCAGATTCAGTGGAACTGTATAGAGTGTTTTCCCAGAAATCAAGGTAAGGTGCATCAGAATCACTCTACAACCCAGTAGATCATGTACTGCACTTCTGCATGAAACACAGTGGTAACTGGTTTTTAAAAAAAAAACCAAGCAAGCAAACAAACAAAACCCTTTCCAGATGGAGATTACACAGTGCTGATGATTATAAAATATGAGAGCTCCACCCTGAAATAAATCTTCTAATGTTAAAGGGCTATCACATTTGTGTTTTGTTTTAGGGCCTAATCATAGCTGCCAAAAGAATCCTAGTTATATCAAATCTTTCCATACCTCTGTTGTTGTGATACATGTATTTTCACTGTCAAGTGGTATATCTATACACCAATGGGAGCATACACATTTTTTTAACTGTATCGATTCATTGCTTTCTGTTTGAACCATTATAGCAGGCTAAACTGCTCTTCATTTTGTATTGATTCATTTTCTCTTCTGTTTCTTGGGACAATCAGGGGCCCTTTGTCAGTTTTTGAAAAATAACAAAAGTGATATATCAACATTGCAATAGAAAGGTCTCAGCCTTCTCTCCTCCTCCCCTATTCCCTTCCTTCCTTTACCTGAACCCTTTGCAAAGGAAATAAACCAACAGCATGATACTTTGCAATTAATTTTAAGGTACAGTACATATCTGTGTAGCACCGCCAGCGCATGTTGTATTCAGGAAAGCACAACATGCAAACGACAGGACCTGTCTCATGAAGAATTTGAAATTGTGCATTTAGGACTTTCCTATTAGAATATGAGCAGAGAGAGAAAACAGCAGAAAGGAGGGGAAAAGAGAAGGGCAAGAGTAGGAATCCATGGATACAAGCCTGTGCAGTTACACGTGATAGTTCGCTACACAAATGATGGCTGCTACAAAGGAATACACCCTCTCAATCTCCCTCCACAATATTCACAGATTCATACCCCACCATCTGCTCAACTTAAGACACCCAACTTTTTGTCAATCACCTACTCTCCTGTTTAACATGTGCCACCAGTTGCCCCCTCGCTATCTATGCCTTTACCATCATCCTGTCTTTTGGTGGCAAACTCTCACACACCATGGCATTACTCCCAGCACTGTAGAATATACAGAGGGACAAGTTTTGTTTTTTTTTATTGTGGTAGGTTGTAAATGGACAGATAGTCAGGGGTGCTCGTGTGCGTATAGGGGTATGTAGCATTGTATAAGCTTCATAGCTGCAGCTTTGTCTGTGAATCATTAATCACACATTCTTTTAATAAAAGCCTGTTCCCTCTCAGCTGTGGGTGGTGGTAAATGTTAAAAATAAGGCTTTGCATTTCTGGGACCTGTTCAATCCACAATCCTTCCAACATGTTCCATTTTTATTAACTATCTAAGCCCAACCTCAATGGCTGATAAATAAATACCATCAGCCCTTAAGAATTTCAGGGGCAGGAAGAAGGCCCAGCTTCACAAGGTTCGTGCCCAATTAGTTCCAGGCACTCCCTCAGGTCAAATGCACACAGGGTTCTTCCTCTGTAATAAACATTGGGACCGTGTTCTGTCTGGTGTTTTGGTGATGGGAGAAGGGAAAATTGAGGGACCAGAGCCAGCTAAATCCATCCCAACCCCAAGAACCTGACCATGCTAGAGGTCTTCTGAAGTCAGAGGGATACTGTCCAAGATGGGCAAATATCCCGTGGAAAGGTACCTCATGTATTGGAAATATGGAGTCAGCAGAGTAGGGGCAGCTAGTAAATGTGCTCTTTCCTGCTCCTGCTTCTTCCATGTCAGATGAAAAGCTCTTTCACACACCCCTCCCTTTTATTGTAGGTCTGTTCTTTTTCTCTGTCTCCTCCTCATAGTCAAAATACAAAATCCACCGTACAGGAAGACCTTCCGTAGGACTAGCTTAAATGATATAAAAGAAAAGGGACGCTTTCCATTTCTTCTGGATATTTTTTTTCTTCCTAACAGGCTGGCACAGCTCCCTGTCTCTACAGAGGTTGGAAGTCAACTTGGTCTGATGTCTCCTCCCACACAGCTTTCACGAGCTCCTCTGCCACCACTTGAGCATCCCCTTCATCAAAAGTCAGCAGAGAGCCCACCTTATTTGTATGCACTCTAGCCACCAAGTCTCCTTGTCCCACCAACCCCCACCTACCCACCCTGGACTTATTTTCTTTTCTCCTCCAAAGCTCACTCAGAAATGAATCCCTGATCCATCGTTTTTCATAACAGCATCTGGTTTCTCTTTGCCTCACATTCAACATTCCTTGAAAATTCTCCATGAGCCGCATACTTTTGGCATTGCACTCTCACAGGCTGAACAGCCAGAAGGGGAAGAGGAGCAGAAAATGTTGCTGACCTACCTATACTTGCCATTGTGAGGATCAAGCTGGTCTTCCACAAGCCACCATTCGTCACAGTCTGGGCTCCTCAAGAGGAACAGCTCGTCCAGACTAAGCCAAAGCAACAGGAAGCAGACACCATCCCAGGACCATGTCTAAGCTGAGCCAGCTGTCAAACATAGCAGAGGACGCCCACAGAGGCTCCTCCCACCCAATAGGAAATAGATGTTGCAAGACGAAAACAAACCAACCAGCCCAAACCCCCAGTGGTGGGTAAACGTACGTTAGGTTTAGCAACAAATGATGACCAATGCAGTGGGTATTATATGAGAGAAATGTGGGAATATGGTCATTTAATGGATTCGGGGGTCAATTTTCTCAGCCCACATTGCTCAGCAACAGCCTAGAACCAGACAAATTTGTTTGTGGCAACCTACACATCTGAAAACTTTGAAAAATGTATCTAATAAAATGTACATATTTGAAAACAGCTGCACATTTCACAAAATAAATGGGTGCAAAGATGTTTTAGTCAATGGTTAAATGTATGCAAATAATGCATGCAATTTGAAAAATGCACATATTTTTAAACATGCACCTGAACCACACCCACATAAACGGGTGGACCTTCTCCTGCAAATACACCTCCCAAAAAGGATAAACTTTTCCCTCCAGAAAAACAAAAAACATCAACACATGGAAACAGCACATACCAGAAGCAGGAAGAGGGATAGGACCAAGCTTATGGAAGTTGAACAGGCAGATAGGCATATCCCTGACATACAACAAAACCAAAAATGAAAGCAAAACTATTATTGCCCCTTTAAGACTACCTGATTTCTCTCAGCATGAGCATTCATGGGTTGCCATTTATGAAATCTCACATTGAAAGAAACAAGGGTGTTTTCAAAGTATCACAATACTTTTGTTTTGATTTTTGTTTCATTTGTGTTATACATGCTGAAACAAACTAGCATGGCTACCATTTTGAAAACATCCCTAATGGGTATATTCATCAGTACCTTCACATTCATGCATATACAGCTCTCATCTCTACAGTATTTCACTCATCACTTTCTATTTCTTATGCATATATCCACAATTAAGTATGACGCACACAAAAGCTTTGTAATGAATTAAATATATAGTATTTGATGCACTTCACAAGGGATGATGATGTACTTTTCATATCTTATGTCAAGGCAGGGAGAAACATCATAAAAAATAAAGGAATTATAGCATTACAGAGCTGGAAGGGATCCCAAGAATCACTGCTTGCTGAAGCGGGCTATCATGTATGAAATGGAATTCACTGTAGTACAGGTTTCCTCAGCTGTGATCAAGAATGTGCTGTTCCACTCTGTCAGTGGGCTTAATTAGAATTCAATTCTTACCAAAAAAATTCTGGTTTATGAATATGGGATATTGTGCTTCCTTTATTCACGATTCAGAACATCAGGAAATGTCCTGACATTGTTGCACAAAAAACTTGTATGATAAAATATGCAAAGTTTTAAATAGCAAAGAGCATGAATGCTGAGAACACCAATGACAGGAGTCAAGATGGTCTACAGGATACCCTTTTGTGCTCACTACCAAAAACCAGAGGGTTTTTAGAAAAAATTCCTGACTTTTTAAAACAGACATTTAAATATATATACACTACACATATAGTGACATGTAGATAGAAGAACATTTGGGATTTGGCTGTAGTCTCTCTGTACCAAAATATTTTGAAGGGCTGTTAATACTCAAAGAAGTGGTGAAGCAAAGATGTAAGTACAACATATACAGTGGAGAAACACACACTCTTAAGCTTCTCAGATAAACTAATGTTGTTATGCCCACTCCAGAGAATGTTAACTAGAAAGCTGTATTCAAATTTCCAAACCCTTTCCTGGGGTAGACAACCTGAGGAACAAGAGCTGTATCAGACCAAACATTCTACAAACAGGTTGTGCCCATGTTTTCCAAAAGGTTTCTTATTTTCTTGAAATAAGAAAAAAAGAAGAAGAAGAATTGGGAGTTAGTAACAATTGTCACTGAGCAGAGCTGTTAATGATAGGACATTTTGGAAGTCAGTAACTTTTATAGTCACAATACACCAAATGTGACTTGATGGCGCATAGCATCTTTGCAGTTTTTTCTTAATTACCAAACAATTTTATACTGACACAATGAGAGGAGTAGGCAACAAAGTTCTGCTAATATCAAGTAACCACATCCCCAGCCATAAAGTTAAAAAAATTAATTTCACAGCTCAAATGCGTGAGCTTCTGAATATTTATTCTCTATTCTTTTTTAAATATCATTTAAAACATTTTTACATCATTAAAAATATCTGTTTAGCCTGGAAGGAGTTTAAAAATTATCCTCCTGAGAATAATTTAATTTGGTCCTTACTGACAGGATCCAAAGATCTTGAGAACCTTCTGGTTCTCAAGCTGCAACAATGTTTCTGACTTTTGAAGGTTCACATTGGTAAGGTAGTTTATAAGAAAATCACAATGTTACTCTTTTGAAATCCCTTTTGGAGCATCAATATTTTACTTTCTGAAGCCTCGATTGCTTCCAAAAAATTTTAAAAAGTGGCTGGGAACAACTATTATCTTTCAAGACAAACAATATGGGTCT